AAGCAAAGAAGTACTGCAGGCTTTAGCCTAAGATCCTTTCAGGGAAAGCTTTAGCCTATTGATCTCACGGGCAAGCAAGGCCAGGGAAAAGATGGTCCTCATCCCAGGAACTCATTTGGGGACCTTCGCATAAGAGCACACATCTTAATTTCTTGCAGTAAACTTGCCATATTATTTTTTACAAATACTCAGATTTCTGCTGCAATGGTGTTTACGCAGTGCTTTATGTGGTATCAGGAGAGCAAGGCTGATGTCTTTAACAAACAGGATTATCCACTTAACCAGACACACACAGGTACCAGAATGCAAGCATATAGTTTAGGCAAAGACCTGTGGTACCATGCACCCAATCACATTGCAAACAGCCTCTTTTGAATGTAAAACTAGTTAATCATAACCAAAGAAAAACTTCAGATATTTAAAAAATTAAGGTAGATGCACTGACCTTAGGAAGGTGGAGGATTTTACTGCACTGTGCAGACTGTTGCCTAATTCTTTCAAGATGTTAAACACATGCTTCTTGTACTGCTCTTGCCTTGATTACCTAAATGCACTTTTCACTTCCCAGCAGAGAGTGATCTTCTTTCTCCTCACAGATGCGAACATTATATTCTTTTATTACACAAATATTCATGGTTTTTCAAACTCTATCCCAGTGCTCAGCTGATGCCCCTTGTTTGAAAGAGGATATGTCATCTCTCTGCTGGGAACAGAAGCGATTCCGGGAATGTCCTTCAGCAACAGGGGCAGCCTGGCAGAAGGGACAGGCACTTATAGGTGTTGGAACACATATTGCCCCTGGCAGGCTCCCACTAGGAAAAAAAAAAAATCAGAACTTCTACAAACACCAAAAAAAAAAATAAATAAATAAAAAAAAAATCCACTTTCTGTGTTTATGGGATATTTTAAATGAAGTAAAAACCTGACACTGGACACATAAAGCTGTTTGCTTCACAAAAGCACCTTCAAATCAAGAAAGGAGAAGGAGCAGGTGAAAAATCTAAAACAGTCTCTGTATATCATAAATGTACGATGATTCATGCAGTGAGCATAATCTTTGCTGAATATCCAGAGTAAGACACAATTCTTCACATCACATGGAACCTTGTGATAACCGTAACACCGATGTGACCCACTGCATCACACCTAGTTAAGTGGGTAATTAAAGGAAGATTAATCAGAGGCATAACTACTTGGAACATTAAATTCTATTCAATGCCATAAAGAAATATAGCTGCAGAAGAAGGTGATGTATTCCCTAGCTTGCCCAGTATTATCTCTCTCTGCTGTAAAAGCGTTAAAATGCAAAAAAATGAGCTTGGACTGCGGAACTCAAAGTAATGGTTCCATTCTGGGTAGTTGTAAATCAAGAGTTAAAAGCCTGTACAAACACAAAGCTGTTATACAAGTTGGTAAATAGATTAGCCCTCTCTGTCCTGAGGATCAGTGCAAAAATTGCCGTCTTGGGAGAAATCAGGTGATGCTCCCAGGAACATCCCTACACTTCTTCCAGGCTGACAAGACCACAAATCACCAGCTCAACAGATGTACAGTGAGCTTGGTCTGACTGAAAACAAGAGGAGAGCCCAGCAGGGCTGGAACGAGAGGCCAGAACATGGAGTGTTTCACTGAGAATGTGAAATATTAGAGAAAAGGGAAGAAAGTGTGTGTTTAGAGGGATTTGTAGGTCAGCAAAAGGGGAATTAAAAGAACGAGGTGAATTTGCACAAGAGGAGAAAGTTGAGGGGATGTAAGTGCTCAGTAGTCACGGGTATGTTAGAGGCATAGCCCAGCTATTTGGAAGACACAGAAAACATGCAAGGAGCAGCTGTAGGTCATCGGACACTGAAGAAAAATCAAGTTGTGTCTTTTTGGACTGGGAGCATCTGTCATGTAGGGGGAAGGCAGAGAAGTAGCAATGCAAGTGCTTGAAGGAAGAAAAATTAATTTTGTGGATAAATTGGAGTATTAGAGTGGTTTTCAAGGAGTATGCAGTAGAGAAGGGGGTAGTTCCACATGCTTGAGGAGAAGAACAAGGATGAGAAAAAGGTTTATACACTGGGGAAATTATAGAGGAAGAAGAGGGATGAGTGTTTAGGAGCTTAAAAACAATAGCAAAGGATTTGGGTAAGTGTTTGGTACTGCTGAATTACAAGGAAAGAGAGGTGAGCTGTTTTGGGTTGTAGAACAACCTGCAGAGATAGAGTACAAAGGGCCTGTTGTCTGTGGGACCATGACAGTGGTAGACATTTGCAATCTGATTGAGGGTTAAGAGCATTTGGAAGTGATGTGCTAGCAAAGAAAAGGGATACAGACAGTCTGGGAAATGTAGTGACACTGAAGTTGGTGTGCTCCAACTGTGAGATCAGATGAATCTGGAGGACCCAATAACCTCTACAGAAATTTGGAGTGTAGTGGGACTGGGGAAATGGAAAGATGTACTAGAAGAAAGAATGGGTCAGCCTATCCAGGAAGGAGGATAACTAGGCACAGGATGGTTGGGAAGGCAGGGAACACAAGGACAGAGTGCCACAAGCAGGCATACACCGTTATCGGCTGAAAACTTCTTCCTTAAGTGTGACAGTCACAATTTCGCAGATACCAAAATTGTTTTTTTCCATAAGAATTAAGGTAATAGAGGAAATGCGTGGAAGTACAACCTAAGCATCCAGAGAAGCTAGAAAAATGACAAAACCACCACTTCAGAAAATGAGCAGTACACTTAGAATTAAACTCTGCTTGCTGGAGTGCTCAGAGAAGCTGGACAGATAGGTGCAGAGTTTCCCTGCACAGACTTAGATCAAACCTAGAAGAAATTTAAGGATTAGCAGGCTTTTGGGTCAAGTTCAATAAAATCTGTGACAGAGATGTGCTACATCAAGAAATAAAAAGGGCAGCGGTGCTGTTAGTGAAAGGGCAGAGGGGAACCACAGAGATGAGGAACACACCAGAGGGACGGCTGTGCTCAGTCTTGTTCTTTATACTTAGCAAATAAGGGTGTTCTGAATCACTGTCTCTGGCAGAAAAAATAAGTCAAATATTATCTGAAGTATGGAGGCTGAAGTGCAACTTTATTTTGGCCTGTAAACAGGGAAAGTTTTGTGAAGAAATCTAGTTACTTCTTTCAAGAGCAAGTACTGCGGGTAACCTGGAAGAAACAAGTGGGTTAATTCCTGTATCCAGACACAGCTGTTGCCTGTTTTGTAAAACCTATATCCTTATCTGTTACATCTCTCAGTGTAATTATTTGCTTAGAGGTCAGAACAAAGGTAAAACCTCTGTACTTCCTTATGATTGCCTCTATTCACCAAGTTAAGGCTGCCAACACCAGTGGGTATGTCAGAACAGGGACCTCTCTCACTTCACTGGGAAATTAAGTAAGTGTTGATGCTCCATTCCAACTATAAAGAAAAATCTTCTGTCTTCCCCATCATTCAGTTACTCTCCAGCTGAGGCAAGAAAACAAACCCCTCCCATTCCACTGGTAAGAACATGTAGCCTACTTTGATCAGTGCACAGAAATGCCAGGAAAGGCCAAAGCAAGACCTCGGGCATACAGAAACATGAAGGCTTAAGATATATCCATAGAAGAGCGGTATATTTGAGGCTTTTCCCTCACCAAATCTAAGTGTTGGGATGAAGCACTATATATGGGAGCTGCCTGCTTACAGGCAGAGCCTGAATTTCTAATTGAACATTATGAAGAACTACTCTGCCAAAGCCTCAGCCTTGCTTTTAGTGCACATTTAAAGCCATCTTTTGTCCAGGACTCTGCAGGAGCAAGAGAGATGCTGATGCTTTAAAGGGTGGCACCTCAGAAGGCGAGCTCCCGGTAGAACATGCCTTTCAACACCTACCAGAGGGTTTATGGTTAGACATGCAACTCTTTGCAAACATGCACAAGATGACTCATGAGTTGGGGACAACCCTGGGGCAATTTTCAGCGGCATGTTCAGCCCCAGCTCTGTGCTCCAGAACAGCCGGCCAGCTTTGGAAAGTGAGCACTCAAGTGCCCAGGTTTAGCTAGGGACACAAGGTATAGTTCGAGTCTGGAAACACATCTAAAAGTTTTTCCTACTCCCCCCTACACAAACAAGGCTGAGAACCAACAGGAAGACAACACACAACCTGGCAGGAATTGCAGCATGACTAGTTCATTCAGGTTGTGCAGGCCTGATCTGTGGTGAAGTTTCAACTACATGCTGCTTTAACCCACCAGCCAGTCCAGACACCCTCCTCTCCCAGGAAGGCTTTCATCTTTTGAAAGAATTAGCTTATCTGCACTGCTCCAAATTAACCATTGAACATACACCGTTCTGGTGTGATTTTGGTACCGTTTAAGACTGGACAAAGACTGATCATAAGGGAACCACAAGCCACAGCTTGTAACAGCAGGGGCAGGTAAGGGCACAAATACTTCATTTAAAAATAAGTCTGCACTGAACAAAGTTCCATCATTTATTTTTAATGAGTTTCAAGTGTACAGTGAAGCAAAACAAGGGGGCACTTACCTTTATTCCAAGTCACACTCCAAGATATGCTGTGAACAGCATCCTACTCTTGGAGGTCTTCATTTAGATCATGAACATATGTCCCAAGAACAATGGAGAATTGTTTTCTGGGTTTAAGGATCTGAGGATAGGTTATTGAAACACAAAGGCAGCACAGACTGAGGAAGAAGAGCTACCAGTAACACATCCTCCCATTTAGGGGACTACCTCCCCGTGCATTGCACAGTGGCTGGAAGTAGAGTTGGCTTGGGGATCCTCTTCCCACAGCTGCTGGTTCATACATCTTGTTACAGACTTACCACAGAGTCAGTCCAGCACACTGTTCCAGTACAACTGAAACAGCCATCATTGCAATGGAAAACCAGCCACTGCTCCGAAGGCCAGAACTTCAGGTGTATGTGTAGAGTATGGAAGCGACAAAAAAAGAGGTCCAAAACCAGTTTGGTATCCCAAGCCCTCCCCATCCACTGACAGACCAGACAGACTCAGTAAGGTGGTGAATTGTTTCTTAGAGACCATTTAAAGTACATGAGCTGATTACCAGAACATGCCAGAGCAGATTACAGTTGTGTTCATAGAGGAATGAAATAAACTGCACGTGCCTGAGTGGCTGTAATGCTGTGGACAGCAGAGTCCCTTGCCTTTACTTGGCGGGCCTTGCAGATATTTTTTTTTTTGCCCATGCAGAGACACAAAGGAGGAAAAAGGGAACAGAAGAGGAAGCAACATACAACATCTAAGAGAAAGAAATAGAAAAGACAGCCTAGGGGGACCTCAGCCCACAGAGGAACAGGAGGGATGGGGTACCAAAGGCTTGCTTAGAAGAGTTCAAGAGAATTGCTGGTTCTGGGGACCTCAAACTTGTATGCCCACCCCCTAAAATGATAGCAGTAAGTAGTACAAGCAGGCCCTGGCTCCTCTTCAGTAGATGCACTTCTGACCGTCCATCACATCTCAGTTCCACAGGGAATTAGGGAAGTGCTCAGGGGACGAGGGCTGCTTCACTCCAGATCTTCATCTCTGCCCTCACCCAAGGAGAGGGATGGAATTGCAGGCAGATGAACTCAGTGCAAATGAAATGCTGGGGCATGGAAGTGAGCATGCAAAACCTAGTCTGTTCCCAGATGCCATGTGAGGAGGAAAGGGGTTTCCTTGGCACACTCAATGAAACAAAAAGCATCTGCTCCTCACGTCTTTTGTACTTCACTCTCATCTGGGAATGCCAGTGATGTTCTCCCCTGCCTTCCCACATCCCCTTAAGCCTATGCAGACCTCAGGGAATTCTACAACTGAGGTAGAGCTTCCTAAATTAAAGGAGAGTCCTCTTTCCAGTCAAGATTACCGGATACAGCTCAGCTTGTAATAAAAAACGACAAGATGCACATTCCTCATAAGACCCTGCAGAAACTGAGGAACAGGGCAACTCATTTAACCCCAGGTTTGACAACACATTTAAGCAATTCACAGCTCTTGTTATTTTTGAAGGAGCAGAACAAGGGAATTGCTTATAGAAAGCCACAGCATTCCACACTGCAAGTTTACTTCCAGCAGAGACCACCTTGGATCTAAATTCAAGATGACCCATAGCAAGAAGGAGGACTTCAGTTTGATACGCAAGATCTAAGCTGAGAAATTGGGACATCTGATGTCACCTTGCAATACCCATGCCCAAAGCAGCATTTCCCTTTGCAACCCTAGCTAACCATTCCAAGTATTCTCTAACTCCTGCTGAAAGTTATGGCTTTGTGGTAGTAGAAACAGAACAAGTATTCTTAGAAAGCTATGTGGCTCATTCAGTCTCATCTGCAATACCTCCGGTCTCTTTCGCTTCCATCTGCTATGTCGCGGACTTCCTCTGACATTCAACCCAGTAACACAAAAGCAACACGCCCACTCCCATTCTGCCATGACCCCAAAGTCTTCCAGAAAGCTGCAAGATAGAAAGCTGCAAGATAAAAAGCCACAGGGTCCTTGCTTGTGTCTGCATAGATGAAAAATATTTGACACCCCCTACCAGGCTCCTTATTGTTGTTCCTTCTGGCAGGAGATTTTACTCCCACACGTGCCTTTTAGATAGTAAAAAAAACTCCTTTCACTTAGATGTGTTTAGTCTGTTGCACTTGACTGAGAGAATCATGTAGGCTCTCCTTTATAACTGAAGTGGCCATATTCAGATAGCAAGTCATCTGAAAATAAGGACAAGCAAAATAAATTGTTTCCTTAGATGCTCATTTCTCCATGGCTAGAGAATTCTAGATCACTATATCTAGCTCGGTCAGATGGCTCACGGTCACTGACCAACACAAACTAGCCTTTATTTCAGAAGCTCAATGAAAAGCTTAAGATATGCTGCCGCTCTTTTTAGGCAGAACACTAAAGAATCTCACATGCTGAAGCCCTTCATCCCCAAAGGCACGGTGTTAAGGCATTCTTATTTTGCTAGAGTCCACACAGGCACTATTTGACAAGCTCACACCCAAATATAAACCACAAAAATTCCCTGCAGAAGAGCAGGAGCAAAAGCTCACCCACTCCTCCCCTACTTCCCTCTCCTCTAAACTTAGATGACCCTCCCTAAAGCTGCAGCAGCTGTTGAAGAGTCTAACCGTGTTCAGTAGAGTGCTTCAGAGTCCTATACAGACGACAAATTAAAACCAGTAAAGAAATCAATGAAGAAGCTAGGTGGAAGGGAAGGGAAGGAAAGATTCAGGGGCAAGAAGAGACAGGCAAGGTGACAGGGAAGAGTAGGTTGCAGACTGAAGAAGCTACATTCAAGTAAAAAAGTAGACTGGAGACAAAGCAATAGGGGAAATAAAAGAAAAAAAAAGGAAAGAACAGAAGGGCAAGTTACACCAAAGGTCCCCCAGAGACCTCCAAATCCCCCACCAGGGAAAGGACTTGCCAACCCACCCACTCCAAGGTAAATACCCCTCATACTTACAGTTTTACCTGACCCGGCAGACAGGATTGCCCATTTCTACAATGATGGCCACCCCCAGTTCCTCTGTTACTATATAAAGCATACCTCTACCACAATAAGTGTGGGAGTTCTAGCACCACCACCTCCCTTCCCCGAAGACTGAAGTTAACACTTATTCAACTAAGACCCTCCAGATCTCAAACCAAAAAGGAAGAGTTTAGAGCTGGTGCTTCTTCACCTTTGATCTTGGGCTTTTCAGTACTTACTTACAATCACCACCACCACAATGGCACAAATCACTCCCATCATGATCATCATCTGGAGGAAGAGATTGTCAAAGAGTAATACTCAGAACAGATTGACACGTTCACATCTTCCCTGACAGCCAGGGAACAGAAGCCAGACCCTGAAGGTAGGACAGCCAAGGCCTCAAAGTTTTTCCACAGTGAACGAATCCTAAGCATTTGAAATCATTATTAAGCCCCAATTACCCTCTCAAAGCCCTGCATGAAAGGGCTAGCCCAGTTTCCTTCTGATGAGGGAGATCATGGCACTAGGAAACTCACCTTGCAGTTCTTCCACCAGTACTTCCTTTTGAGTTTTGCTGCGCTACTTTCAAATTGCGAGGCACCAGCCTGGAGTGCATCTGCCCGGTCATCTAGCTCTGACAGTTTCTGGTCTCGTTCCAGCACCTTGTCTACATTTACACAGATTATATCAACCACCTGCAGAAGGAAGAATAGTAGCAGCAGTTGTATTGGTAATGAGAGTTGAAAAAGTAAGAGGAGTATCTTGGCCAGTAACTAGCACTGAGCTACTAACAAGGGAAAGCTAAAAACAAGGGAAAAAGGGTCAGGGTAAGAAGCAGCTTTCAAGATATTGCCTACTCTGAAGCAGAGAAAAAAATCCCAGACCCGCCCTGTTAAAGTATCAGATCAAGTACACTTAAACCAGGTCCTCAGCCCCACATTCTCACCTATTTTTAAAAGCTCTCAAATCCAGCAAGCCTAAACCACCCCGTTCCAGAGAGTAATCCTATAGCTCATTCCCTGATAACTGCAGAAATAACTTAGAGCTACATGTTGCTGCCCCAGTGAGGCATAAATGCGTTACTGCATGTCAGCAACCACACTACCAACACTGATCCCGGAAAGTCAGGCAAGTTCCCCACACATCACAGACTGTTCCCCTGAAGCAGCAGGCAGGGATTAAGAGCTGTTCTGGATGCTGTAGAGCTTTATTTCCATGACAGATGCACGATACGAGGTACCAAAAACCTAACAGGCTTACTCCTTAGAAGTCGTATCTGAAATTAAGCAGCTTTTAAACACGAAGCAATCTCTCCAGCCTCTTCATGGGTCTGCCATCATCTTTTGAATACTGAGTACTAACGCACTGCTGGCACTGGCACGACAAGAGCATCCGCCCCCTCAGCAGTGGATGCCTGTCAAGACCATCAGTGCTGCAGAGGAGCAGAAGAGTCCAGACAGCCAAAAGGATGCCAGCACTGCTGGCAGAGCTACTGACCTCCTTCACTTGGGCCTGCGTCTGCTGCAGCCGACGGTTACTGCTCTGATTGGGGGTTGCCCCGGGGGGGCCCCCCTCCGGAGCTCCCCCTTCGGGGGCCCCAGAAGCAGGTTGCTGAGCTGGGTCAGACCTAGGGAAACACACGTATTGGGGGAAGGAGAAAACCTAGTCAGACACTCAAGAGGGAGGACCTTCCCCCCCCCGCCGCAAGCTCCCCAATCCACCTGAACCCCAAGGTTGGGGCAGTGCCGGCAGCAGCCCCGAGGGCACGCACGCTCCCCAAAACATCCCGGACCAAGCGCAGGCCCAAAAGGGCCGCGGGGAGGGGCTGGCGGGTGCGGCCGTGCCCGGCGCTGCGGCCTCCCGGGGGGCGACGGCCGCCTGGCAGCGAGCGGGGGGGGGGGGGGGGGGGGGGGGGGCGGCGGCGTGCAGCAAGCACCGGGCGAAGGAAGGCAGCCGGGGAGGGGGCAACCCCCGGCCGGCTGGGTGCAGCGGTGGCCGCCGGCTAGGAGTGGGGCGCGGCAGCCGGGCCCACGCACCCACCCGTGTACTCAGCGGGTGCCTGCGGGGAGCGGGACCGCCCGGGGGTGGGGGGGGGGGGGGGGTTGGGGGCGGTGCGGGCAGCCCTGCCTGCGGCTGCTGCAATGCGCCACTCGGCCCCACCGCCGCCAGCCGGGACGCGGGCCCTGCGCCGGCCCGTTCCCTCCCGCGCCACGGACCCCCACGCCGCAGCCCCGCCACGCCACGCGCGGACACTCACATCGCCGAGCAGGACCAGGACACCCGGGCAGGCAACAGTTGGACTCGGCCCAGCACGGCGCCGCACGCTGAGGGGAACTTCCCCCCGTGGCGCAGTACTTATAGGAGACAATGCCCCGCCCCTAGAGCCAACAGCCAATCGGAAGCGGCCGCAGGAAGGACGCGCTGGCAGCCACAAATGAGCGCCGGCAGCCACAAATGAGCACCGCCTTTGGGTTTCTCCGCAGCCAATCAGCGCTCCGCGGCTCACGGAGACGACGGCGAGTTAACCGAGCCCCGACCCCTCCCTCCCTCCGGACTTCCGAGGGCATAAGCCCCGCCCCACGCCCTGGGCCGCCCAATGGGAGCAGAGCCCGCCCCCTCCCGATCGGCATGCGCGAGCCGCGCCCCACGGCTGCTGAGGGGCCGGTGAGTGCGGGGGGGGGGGAAGGCGGGTACCCAGCGCGTCCCCCCGCCCCGTACGGCCCCTCTGCCGGTCCCGAAAGAGCCTGGGCAGCCGCCGGGCCCTTCCCGTGGCCTGGCGCTGGACCCTCCGCCCCCGCCGTTTGGGTCACGCAGGGCCAGAACACGGTTACCTGTCCTCTCCGGTTTTCCCCGTCGAGCCCGGCCCATGCCCGCGCCGTTACCGGGGCGGGGGGCGGGTTGCGGAGCGCCTCTGTAGTGCGTTTGATGGCTCTGGCTCAGCTGCTGTCCGTGCAATTAAGAGATGGGATTGCTGGCCCGCTTCCAGCATACGGCAGGGGGGTGTCAAAGGGAACCTGAACAAGCTTCTGAGGCGGCAGCGTTGGAGCCTCTGCTGGGGGAAACAGGGCTCCAGCAGCTGCCCCCAGAGGAGCTGTTTGTTGGGTTTGTTTTGTTTTTTTTTTTTTTTTTCCCTCTAAAGATCTTGAGAAGCCTGCTGGATCAGAACGGATAGGATTATTCAAGACAAAACGGGAGGCAGGAGCCTACTGGAAGAAGTCTCTCTGCACAGCACTGGGTGTGGTGAGTAGGCTGACAAGCGACTGGTTCACACCTATGCTGGACTACGTTTTCCTTTCATGAGGTGATACACGCCATTAATACAAGATTTTAGTGTTAGATCTGAGAGATTAGTAGATCACACAAAACAGATACATTATAAATTATAGACTGTGACTACGAGGAAGGTGAAGCCTTAATACAGGGTTGAGACTAGAGCCAGGTGATTTGCAGATAGGGCTACTGAGGGGAGCACCCTAGCACTAGCCTCGGCAGTACTGAAAGTTGACAAGCTGAGAAGGGACAAGTCACAGAAAAAGCTTCTTTAGCTTGGTGACTTTCCCACTGCAGTGTGAAGACTGTTCCAATAACCATTGCAAGTAACAGAAGATGGAGCTTGTGGAACTACTGGCCCACAGAGTCCTTGCCAAATTGGCAGTTTGGGACTAAGAGGTGACAAAGGGTACAAGATACTTTTCTCTGACACTTGTCCAGCTTCTGACATACTTCCAGCCAAGGATTTGCTACACCTGTGGTTTACATATGTAGTAACTCCCAGCTGCTCTCTTCCAGGTGCTTGCTCAGTCTCCACTTGGACCTGTGCCCATTTCCTGAATCCATAACACCTTCTAGCAGGAGTCCCACAGGCAGGAGTCCCACATGCCACCCTGCTCCTGAGAGCATGGACTTCAGCTGCTTGAATAGAGACTTTGGCTTCACCTTTCTAAGGCTTAGACCTCAAGAAAATTCTTTTCATTCCCTGCCGCTTCCAACCATGTGCTTTTGAACAGAGTAGCTAGCATTGCTTTATAACAAGGTATCTAGTCAGCAGATAACTCCCCAATTACCTAGCAGCCAAATTAACAACTAAGAGGGAAGAGAGGCAAATGCCTGCTCATGGTAAAGACTTTTCTGAAGTATATAATGGTCTTTGTAATGTTGGACTAGAGGGGTGCCAGCTTTGACTCACTGTAACTTCTCTGAAGGAACCAGTAACAGTTAAAGAAAACTAGAAGCTAGAGTTTTTAAAGAAAAGTCCCTGCATTACTTTTGCAAATCCCGATAAAGAAAAGGCCACTTGGTCGGTAACTGCCATTAGTATGTGATTAAGGCATCATCAGCGTGAAACAGAGACAAATCCTGTTAAGTTCTGAAGCATTTCAACTGACATTTGGATCATTCATGCTTGATATTAATCACAGATAAGTGGAGGATAAGGGAACAAACAGTGAACAGGAAGTCTTATTGGCAGACACTCTTAGTGCTAACTTGAAAATTTAATTATGAGGATAAACCTAAGCTGGAGTGTGCTGGAATTGCCAAGTAGGATGTGGGAACCTCAGACTCACAGAGACCAAAAGGATGCTAGGAAGCCTGGCCAAAAAACAGGACTCAGAGGTCAAGTTCGGGGATGCAAGGTAGAATACATGTCTCCGAGTCAGAAATGACTGAGGGGGAAGAACTTGCACAGAGGAGCTCAGGCCAGGAGCAGCAGCAGAACTTTGGGGCTGGGCCAGAAACACACAGCAAAAGCTGCAGAAAGCACTGGGAACCCAACTGTGTGAAAGCTGGCTTTATTCTGACCGTGGTGCCACAAAACCACACTCCATGGACCGAACCAACGCTTGCTCCTAACGGTGTTTCCCGGTGCGATTGAAGCGCCTGTACAAGTACCGGATCCTCTTGTTGAGTTTGTGATAGTCCTCTACAAACATCCGATCTCCCACCACCTGCTTCTTGCGGATGCACCTCTGCAACTCATTCCCCCGCCAGCCTCGCAGCCACCTGGGCCCCACGATGAGCTTCTTTGGGTGGATCTGGAAGTCACCTGAGAACGGGAGGGCAGAGCGGAGAAGATGAAGCTGGGACCGGGAGGAGGCTGCTCCCAGGGCGGCCGGCTCCAATCCCCCCCCCCCCCCGCCCTCTCGCTGCTGGAGGAGCTGCTCGCGGGTGGGTCCAGCCTCCCTCCTGCCCTGCCGCCACAGCGGGGAGTGGAGAAGTGTCTTACCCAGGATCCCCACGTTGTCGTACACCCCGAACAAGGCCCGTTTTTCCGTCCACCGGTCGACCTGCTTGGGCTTCGGGGGCTCCTTGATGCGGATGGCGCGGGTGAGCCCCGCCAGGGGCGAGGAGAGGGGCACGGGGAGGCCGGGCCGCACGGGCCCCCACCGCGGCCCGCCGCCACTGCTAACACCCCGATCGACCCGGAGCAGGGGCGCGGCCCGGCCCAGCAGTGCTCTCCCCGCCGCTCGCACCAGTGCCGCCATTGGGGTGACGCCGCAGGAGCCCCCCGCCGCCGGGAGAGGAGCAGCGGTGCCCTCCGCCGCCCGGCCCCGGCCCCGCCCCTTCCGCTGCCGCCGGGAACCGGAAGGACACGGAGTGACGCCGCGCTAACGGTCGGGGGAAGCAGGAAAGGGAGCCGGCGATTGGACGCCGAGCTGACGCGCGGCAGCGGTCCCTGGGCGCTGGTAGGCCGGAGGGGGAGGGGGCGGGGCCAGCGGGGCCCGCGCGCGCTGGTTTGAGCGCTCGGGGCCCGCCTGGCGAGTCGGCGGCCATGGCGGCGGCCTGGGAGTTCCACCTGCCCCTCGTCCTTGCCGACCTGCTGCGGGACGACGGCCGCGGGGGCTACGTCGTGGAGAAGGTGCTGTCCACCCGCGAGCTGCCGCCCGCCCTCGTGGGTAAGGCCCCCCCCCCCCCCCACCCCCTCCTTCCTGGCCCGGCCCGGCTCTGCCGCCGCCTCACGGCCATGACCGCGTCCCCTCGCTCCTCTCCGTGTTTCCCCGCAGCCTTCCGGACCGCCTTCCGGGCGCGGGGCGCGCTGGCAGTGCTGCAGCACTTCGACTCCCTTTACAGTTTGCTCCAGTGAGTACAGAGCGACGGGCGCGGAGCCGGGAGCGCAGCGGGTGGAGGAGGGTTGTGGAGAGGCTCACGCCTCTCCCTGGTGGTGTTTACTCGCCTCCCTCACGTACTTGCTTCCCCTGCAGCCACTTCCGAGCTGTGGGGACTGCTGTCAAGGAGGATGCCTTGGAGCTGATGATGCACGGTGGGTATCCGCTGCTTCCAGCTGAAGCAGGCATAAAAGAGAGGTTGCTCTCCTTTTGCAGCTCAATGATGATATAAAGGCTAATGTGACTTGACCGGCTGGGTTGCGCCCTCAGCCCATTCCAGTAATACGGGTCTGTAATCTTGGTGGACAACACTGAGCTGTGTGTGTTTGCTGTAAGGGCAGGCCGACAGAAAGTCCCCCTCCCTGCATTCCTGGAAAATATATCTCTGGGATGCATCAGCTCTGAGTGAGTGTTTCTGTGAGCTGATGTGGGGCTGTGGGAATAGGATGGGATAGCGTGTCCAAGGTTTGGATTGCAGGGGGCAGCCCATTTTACAGCCGGTGAGATGTGAGCACACATCTTTGGTAATCTGATGACTGCTCTAATTCTCCAAAAGATAGAATGGATGGGGGCCCTAGCAAAGCGTACTCATGGCTTTCTGCCTCTCTTCAGTGGTGTCCCACTATTCCAATGAACTTCCTGCCATCTTGGGTAACTCTGGGCTGAGCCATGCAGACCGCACTGCTCACCTCAACGCTCTCAAGATGAACTGCTACTTGTTGACTGGCCTGGTGTCTGCCTTTGAACTGGAAACCTGCAATGGTGCTTTGTTGGAGGTGGGTCCTGGTGGGAAGGTAGGTGATGGGACTGGGGGGAAAACAAGATGATAAAAGTAGAAAGCATGTAAGCTTGCTGAACACTGTGGTGTCTATCAGATGTTATAGCTGGGTTTATTTAAACATGATGCCAGCAAGAGCAGCGCATGATGTGGAGTACTGGTATTTCTGTGAAACTGTATGTGGAAAACAGCCAAAGGAACAATATGCTTCTAAACCTCAACAGGGACTCAGATGCCTAGGCTTCTCTGGTCACTCTCCTGTGTCTGGCCATTATTTTCTCAAGACTTAATTTCTGTGGTCAAAGATGACAGCAACGGTCATTTGATGTGGGCATATAAACTTCTTGTACATCTCGCTGTTTGTCTCTTAATGCCATAGAATATAACAGTCATTTTCTTTTTTTGAGGGAAGCAGGGTGGCAATGGTGTTTCTTCTGTTAAGCTGCTGATGTATCTTATTGTGTAATCTCCTTTCTAGAACAAGAAGAACCGTGCCAAGATCTCTGGATCCTTGTGGGAAGAGGAGAGGGAGCCACTCTTACAGCTGCTCACACAGCTGCTGCAGCTGGATCTCCATCGTCTCTGGGGTGGTTTGGTGGAAGAAGAGTTTGTCAGGTGTGAGATGGAGTGTATGTAGAGGTGGGATGAGTTAGTGGTTTTCTAGAAGGGGAGGGTTAAATGTTAAATCTGCCAGTGAGGTGGTATTATAGCCCTCAGCAGAGTGCAGATCACTGGAAACTGAGGAAACCATCTTGAGATAAGTGATGGTTTTAGGGACCACTTCCTTTCCTCGTGTAGGCCTCTAAAATTCAGACATTTGTTGCTTATTTTTTTTAAGGATGCTGGAGGATATCTCTGGTTTGAGAGAAATGTTTGCCTAGTGCAGTGGGCTAGAATGATGTTGTTGCAAGTTGTGATAGTGAGGTTGACTGTCTCTCTTCCGTGGCTTTAGCTTAATAACAGGAAGCGGCTACCGTGTCCTGGAGAACCCAGCTATCAGTCTTCAGAAGTACCGGGCCACACGGGAGACTGTGACACATCTGCTTGCTGCAGCTCTGATTCGCTATGATCACATGTTCAGTGAGTCCTTACTCTTCTGCCTTCTTTCTGAAGCCATTCCCAGTTACTTTCCCTGACCTCTTTCTTCTTTCTCATGTGCGAAAGGTGCCACTGTGAAGATCACACAGATGCTGCAGTGCTTTGAACACGTAGCCTCAGTCTTTGCACAAGCTGTGAGCCTCTGGGCTACAGAGTATGGTTTGAAAAGCCTGGTGGGCGAATTGCTAAGGTGAGAAAAATACCCCAAGCCTTGTTCTTCTATGCCTAGCAACTTGAGGCATCCTATTCCTTGTTTCATCATTCTTGTGCAGGGAAATCGGACAGAAAGCTCAGCAAGATCTGGCTCGTGATACTTCTGGAGTCAAGGGTTATGCTACCTTTATAACTGAACTGGCTGAACAGATTCCAGCTCTGGTGCTCTCCCACATAAGCATTATCCTGTGTCACTTGGATGGGGAGGTACATGTCTGTGTTATTACCTGCCCAGAGAAGTCAAGTGGTGGAGGTGCTGCTCTCTAGTTTTTCCGTCTGAAAACAGAACCTCTTTCACAGAGATCCAAGTAGCCAAAATATGCCCTTTGGAATAACTTCTGCCCTTACCCTAAAAGATGGAAAGAAAACAGAAACCATGACATCTAATGTCTGGTTGTCACTCAGAAATTAGAGAAAGGGAGACTGCTTACTGGTTTGAGATCCCAGCTGTTGTTCCTTCAGTATTTAATAAGTTTGTCACTGTGTTAACTTTTCTTAAACTGCCCTTAAGGGCATAAGTATTTCTTGTGTGAGTTCTTGGCTTCTGCAGACCTAGGTGGATAGCAAGGTTGAATTACTCTTTCTTGCATGCACAACCATGTTCACTCAAGGTTAATACAAAGTCCGTAATGGAGAAATTCACTTAAGGCTGGAGCCTGGGACTTAGAAGGCCGAAACTCTGGGCCATCCTTCCCCTTGGCATATCAAGTCATGTCTTTTGTCCATTCCCGGTTCAACAATGCTTCTTTTTGCAGAGTTATATGATGCGAAATGCCATTCTGGTGGCTATGGCAGAAGTGCTGATGCAGGTGCTGAATGGTGACCAGCTGGAGGAAGCTGCCCGTGGTACTCGGGACCAGTTCCTGAATATGCTGCAGGTCCATGTCTGTGACATCAATGGCTTTGTGCGCAGCCGTGCGCTGCAGCTTTTCACTCGAATCGTGCAGCGCAAGGTAAGTCTGTGCTAGGGAAGTGGCGTTGCTTCAGTCATCCTTTCCCCTGTTGTGCTTTCAAAGGGAATGTCTGTCACCCTGCTCTTCCTTTTCAGAGACTGAAGTTTAACAAAGAAAGGTATTATCCCTGTGTACTGTGTTGTCTGCAGTTCCTTTTTCCCAGACGAGCAAAGATCCTAGGGGTGAGGGATCTAGGGAACAGAAATTAAGTGCTGCTCTTAATGTCTGTGACAGACTAGAAAGGATAGCACAGTACACAAGCTCTTTTTGGATGTTGGGATGGGAAAACATCACCCTTGCTAGATATACTAAGACTTGTCTCAACAGGGCCCTGGATAACTTAATCGAAGTCCTTGTTTTCAACAGAGGTTGGGCCAGAAGATATCCAGAGGTCCCTTCAGACCTAGACTTTTTTAATAAATCTGTAATCTGTGCCTTTTAGTACATTAGTATGTCTGCAGTAAAATAACTTTTCCTGAGTCTATGGGCCTTCTTGGTAACTCTGTCTATGCTCTCATTGTGTGCTAGGCCCTGCCTTTGATGCAGTTTCAGTCTGTGGTATCGCTGGCTGTTGGACGCCTCAAAGACAAATCTGTGATAGTGGTTAAAAATGCAATCCAGCTCCTGGCTGCGTTTTTGTCCAACAATCCCTTCTCCTGCAAGGTAATTCTGACTAGTATGGATATGCTAGATGTCTGTTTGCAGGCTGAATAACTGCAGTGTGCTGTAGGCAGGGCAACAGCCTTTCTGTGTCTTGTGGGAGGGGCGACGTTAGCCTTTGACTCTGCAGTTGGGAGCTTTCTGGTTATCCCAGGTTCAGATCTTCCTTTGCCCAGCTCTCCCTTACTTGGTGTAATTGGTAGGTATGCTGAAGGCCAGGAGCGATGTGTTTGATTGTGGAAAAACCTGCAGCAGTTTGATTTGAATCCGCTGTGGGGTTTCTTTCTGTGGGATCAGAATTAGTCTTTTAGAACATGCTGCACAGAGCTGCAGCTCTGTGTTTAGCTCTGGCTTCTCCTGAGCTTCTGAGCCTCAGACTGGCAATTTACAGCAGTTCCCATTCTAGAATGATGGCCAGAGCCTCCTATTCCAGTTTCCAAAACCAGGCTGATCTGAGGGGATTGACAATTTAAAGCAGCGAGTGGAAGAGAAGGGAGAATTTTAGCATTTCAGCAAAAGGAGGGTAAGTAACACATTTCTTTTTCTCTTCCTGGCATCTTCAGCTAATCTGTACTGACTTGTCTGAAACACTGAAGAAAGAGGTACAGAAGCTGCAAGAAATGAGGGCCCGATCCACAGCAGGTAATTTCCCTTCTTCCTCTTCCCCTTCCCAGGGTACACCAGGGTTTATTCTTCCTCATCTTAAATTTGCTCCCAGGCTGTGGTAGCTTTTATCTCAGATCTTACTCATGTGAGACTATGAGGCCAGATAACT